TTGTAGTAAAGAAAACTATTGAAAATATCAATAAACAATAACAATTTTTGAATATAAAACACTTGTTGTGATAGTTGTTGTTGTTGAGGTGAGAATGAGGGAAAAGGAAATAGAGAGAAAATGGAGAAAAAAAATAGACAGGAAAAGAAGAAAGAGGAAAAGGAATGTGGGCGGAGGGAAGAGAAAGAAGAGAAAGAGATTGAGGTAGACAGAGAGAGCGAAAGAGAAGAAGGAATTTGGGTGAGAGAGAGAGAAAGAGAAAGGTAAAGATGATGAAATTTTCATCATCACATTATCATTGAGATCCATGAAAACGATACCAAAGATAAGGTCGTGGTTCATTTTATCATGACTTGTATATTTCGTCAATTTATATAAGGGCAACTTTTTTTCGTATTTTCTTTCTATTTTCTTTTAGAACGGTTTCTACGAACTTATTCTCAACTTTCTCTAATTGATCCAGTTTATATTTATTGGTACAACTAATTTAAATGAATCACAATTTAGGTTTAAATGAAAGTTTAATTGCAATTAAATGATGTTAATCAATTGGAGGTAAGTTAATCTACTTGCTTATTGTAAGTTTTGGTACAATTTTCTTGTCAAATCATTTAATCCGTTTGTTTTACATAATTACTAATATGTTTTTCCATTGTTTTCTATTAAGATTACTTTTACTATTTGGTAAGTTAACAAACATTACTTGTTTTACTTTAATGTAATTGATAATTTTTTGCTATCACTTCTTACAGCTATGGTTGTTGACTGTAATATACCAAATATCACAGTTAATGATAATATTATTAGAAATGGTGAGTGCTGTTGCATCATCATTTTGATAAACCCGTTAACCGACAAAGAAGTAGAAATTAGGAAAGAAGTCACTTGCACGCTTATTAACGCAACATCAGATGTTTCATTTTAACAAGCGAAATATCTACAGGGTTATTCAGCTATTTTCGCTTATGTTTTTTTGCAATTTTCTCAGCAACAAGAAGTCCCAGCGGCTCAAGACTCGAGTATTATGAGTTTGCATGATACTCAATTGTCATATTAAAAGATCAAGGTCATTCAGGTCATCGGCTAAATAACGTGTTTCAGGTCATTTTATATAATTTTTCACGCTTATTCATCCTGAGCTACAATTCTAAAGTTGATTGTAACTTTCAATCAGAAGATATTGCAGTTTAATAAAACCGTTACTGAGATTCTTTAATTAATTGAACTTATCTTAAAAGTTTACCCTAAAGTCATTAAAGTCTGAAAACTTGAAGCCAGTGCTACCACACATACTTTTTTATAGATATACCTTCAAATGACCTTGAAACGTGTTCTTTTACCAATGACCTGAATGACCCTGATCTTTTTATAAAAATTAAGTATCACTCAAACTCATGAAACTTGAGTCTCTGGGACTTCTCGTTGCTGAGAAAATCACAAAAAACATCGGCGAAAATAGCCCTGTAGTGCAACATCACTGCATTTTCAAAATGTACGAAATGCTGAAAATCTCCGAAATCACTCAGTCAGCCCTCTATAGATTAAATCATATTCTTTAATTCAGTGAACCAGGACCGTATGTTAGTTGTACAGTAAATCGTATTTTCTAAAATGCTATCATTATTAATCGACTATCGGTACTTTTATCTTTCAATGTTTATCGAGATGAATAGATGCCTGCTTCCTGAGGTATGGAAAAAATCTTCTAAATTTAAACTTTTAGACGAAAGTTGAAGGCAGAAAAAAGAATGAAAAATTGAGAATATTTTTGACTTTTAATGTAACATTTTTCATTCGATAAACAATGAAATCTATTTGTATTTTATTCAATAAAAAATGATGATTTATTGATAAAGATGAAATAGTGAATAAGAGACAAAGTTGTGAATAAATTTCGTGACGAAATTCATATGATCACAAATCTAAAACTTGACTTGATTGATTGTCATTGAAAGTAACATTGTAAAGAAATTCAACTTTTCGTATCCTCAAAGTTTGGAATTGCATTTTCAATCCAAACCTAAACTTGATCCAATGACCACGATAATTTAAACTGTTTCGAAAGCATATAACCACAAATGATCAATATCGAGTGATTAATGATTACATTATCGACACAACCTGTATTATTAAGCTGAATTTATCGGAATCATCGAAAGTTTCATGGTGAAGATTTTGTTAAATAATGAAAAGGTCATTTAGCTTGATCTAATTAAGAGATGAGATTGACAAATCATCTATCCAGTTGACATGAGTTTGGCTCGAAAGGCTAAACAGAATATTGTTAAAATGTTAATCTATTGGAAAGCAAGAATCAAATTAACCAAAATTTGACATTGATTTGGAAGTATTGACAATCGCTCGACTCAGATATTATCTTTTAATATGATTATGAAAATGTCATAAGAAGTGTAGGTAAATACATCGAAATGATCAAAACAAATGGAGAATTGAAAGCGAAAAAAAATAGTGATGAAGATGAAAATTCATGAGAAAAGGAAGAGAAAAAAGAAAAGAATTGTCTTGACTTTTTTTTCTCGGTTAAGGTCAATTGATTTTTGGACTTTTTTCTTCTAGACCAATAAATAGTGACCAATGGAAAGTATTATTAGTATTAATAGAAATGAACAAAAGTTACTTGTCCATAAGGTTGCTGGTTATTGAAAGAAACTTAGGAAAACGATGATGATCAGGGATAATCATGTTGATGATCAGAAATACAGAGGTTACAATGTTGAGCATGAGGTTATTCATCTGAAATCAATGAATCAAGCAGAAAATAATAGATAATAGTTAAAGTATAAGAGTTTCTATCATAAGAATGTTGAAAAGTTAAAGCATCATGATGAAGATGATGATGAAAACTTATTCTCATTGTGATAATAATGAGAGACCCTGAATGGTAACACTGGGTGAAAGAATGTTACAAGAAGAATGTTGGAATATTTCTTAATTCTGACAATAAGAATGTCTCAAGTGATTTTGAGATGGCGAAAATGGAACAGGAAGAAAAATTGATTTCCAAACATTGTCTTTGCAATTTATTTGTTTCTCGAGAATAAGTATCGTTCCAATATCATTATCATCTCCATAATGATTATCATGATTACTATCATGATGAGAAAATATATATTTTACAAAATAGAATATGAAAAAAAGGGTGGAGTTTTTGACAATTGAAGGAGAAACTTTTTCTTTTGATTATCTATTGAATGTTGAGAGTCACACAAATTGGAATGAAATGAACATTGAAGTTGCAGGGTAAAGATGAAGGTTCATGATGATGCTACTGATTTCTATTAGAAAAGTGAATTTAGGCTGACAGGTTCATTGAGCAGTCCAATCAAAGGGTTTCAGTTACACTGGGTAGAGAACGAGAGAGGGAGAAGGAAAATAATATATTCGACATTCTTCTTGTTCGATTTCTTTCCTTTTCCTCCTCCCTTTTCGTATCATTCTATTTTCCAAAGTGTTCACAACAATCATCATCTTCATTTTCTTTTACTATCATCTCACTGGTGAATTCGCAGTCATTTGTCTCTGTTTACTTTTCCTCTTCTTCTTCTTAACTACAATATTCTACTCTCACACTTTTGTTTTTTCTTCTAATGATGAAAATAACGGTAATAATGAATTTTCATTCTTCCAATTTTCTAAAACTCAGATTTCATCCTGAATCAGTTGAGGTTTCTAAACATGGAATAAGTCAAAGAGGAGAAAAGATTTGATTCTTTTACCAATGAGTCGGAATCACTTAATATATACAGAGAGAGACTCTTTTCAGCTCGAATAGATCACAACTTTTTTTCTTCTTCCTTTTCTTCATCTTATTTTGATTTGATACCTTAAAGTTCAATAAAAATAGCAAATTGTCATTACGAAGTTTATCCTCAAGGTGAATCTCCCAATTGTATCAACAAGATTGGCGAGAAATTAATAATAATAATAATAATAATGTTAAATGTAGGGAAATAATCTCCAAGCGATATATTTGATAATTGCTCCAATTCAAAGTATCTCATGGATTTAACTTCAAACACAATCAAGGGTGAAAAATGTAATTGCACTAATTGCTTGGCCATCTAATTAATTAATGCTAATGATTATAAATATATTTTCTCTGATGGTCAACAAAGAAGAAAACATGGAAAATAATAATAATAAGGTCAGTGTGTTAATATTATCTGGGAACAGGATGAAACCGATTAACTCAACACATAAATCGGATTAAAACTTATTCCTAACAATAAGATACATGATACAATTAATCCGATGGCTTTTTGTTATCTCTCTCTCTCTCTCTCTCTCTCTTGGCTGAGCGAAAATAAGTTGATGCCAAAAAAGTTCTAGAACTTTTGTTTCCTCTTCCTTTTTCTCGAACTCCCAACATCCCAATTAAAGGGTACAAACAAAAACCTGGGAAACTGAATAATCATGTCAAACACAATCAAGACTGATCACTATAATTAAACCTTTACCAAATTAACGGATACTAATCATTGGAATACATTTTATCAGATTAATTATCACAAGAAATAACTTGTTAGTTGTGAATGTAATTCAATAATCTACTGAAATATATTAAAAGAAATTCCCAGGAGACATTTATCCGGGTAAAACTAAATTTCATAAAATTATCAAGACCTTTCACCATGTAAACAACAGGTAAAAAAAGTTCAGTTCATTCAGAGAAATATTAAAATAGAGGATTGCATTTTCTTGAACTTTCCCATGTATTCAACGGTTGTAATAGGCGAAAATTGAAAATAATATTGTGGATTCTATTCAATTTTTCATCTGAAACATGTATTATCATAAGTTCATGATGCTGTCAGCTTTCAGTGCTTTATATATAATTTCATTCAGAGTTAACTTTAGTTTTAGATTAAATTACTAATTTGTTACCTTGAGACTATTTTTTTTCATCACGATTATCGATTATGTGTTTGAAAATTTGTTTTCATTAGTTAGGGTATTGTAATATTTGGATGAAGACTTACCATTTTCAGCGATACAGGTTAACTCCATTGGTTCATCTTGTGGATATGGTCCAGCGATGGCATATACAGGTTGATCCAATCGATCTTTTATAAACATACCCTTTGGAGGGACTAGGAAAAGATGTAAAAAGATTCAAGTAGGAGGAAGAAGAGATTAAGGTAAATCAATGTGAACAGATAATGTCAATTTCTCAGATAGAACTGTAAGTTTCAGGATAAATCTTCTCAATCCCATCCATCAATTAATCTTATTTGATATTATCAGAGCAGAATGATGAGGAAGAGGAAGAAGATTGAGAATGAACCTTTCTCTCTCTCTCTCTCTCTCTCTCTCACTCACTCTATCTTTAGATTTTTCTATTCTATTCCTGTTTATGTTTTCATCTAGTAGTCCATCATAATCTTCCTCTTTTCTTCCCTCATCTTCTTGACCAATGATTATCTATTTTCTTTCTTTCACCTCCTTCATAATCATTCCATAGTTAATCAACAAAAATCTTATCACTAATCAAGAGATTCAACCTTAAATTGTAATTGATCATTATTGTTGTTATTCACTCCATGATAAATAAACCTTTCACTTTTCTATCCCACTGTTATTATTAATTCTCACTGAGAATTAAGATGACCATCATCATCATCATCTTCTTCTTCTCCTCCTCCTCTTTCATGATACTGATTAAATGGACACTGGAAATGGGATAAAGTTTTAGCTTCATTTTCCGTTTAACTGACAATTAATTTCAACGTGATATTGAGGAGACATAATTTTATTGGATTATCTTGATAAGATTAACCAGAAATAAGGAGCAACATAGTTAAGTGGTATTTAGATTAAACCTCATAATACTCAAATAGTAGATTCATCTTACCATATATCTTATCATATATTATAATATAAATAAATTACATATGCAAATGAAACTTATTCAATGACCAATGGTCAGTGTATGTCGTCAGATATTAATATTACATGGACATTCACAAATGATTATATTAGTTGTATTGCAAGATAATTTGTAACATTGAATTATTATGGTTAATCAATATCAAGCTTAATTTAGGCTGTTGATTATCTAGAGTAATTTATTAATAGTTGAAAATAACAAGGAAAACAATTTCAATTGAAATCATGTTTCTCAACAACATCATCATGTAAATTTCAATCTGAATGATCATTTAACCTTAGCAATTGAGAAGAAGTTGGTTCTTTTTTATTTATTGAACATTTCAAGAAGATAAAAAAAAAGTTCAATGTAAAATTGAGCATTTTACATGAGATGAACCATGGAAGTAAATTATTATAAATGATTGAAATAAAGCTAAGAGTAAATGATAAACAAACTAATCAAAAGATGTTATGAGTTCTAAGATGATGATAATGATGATGATGATGATCACCACCATGAAGATCAACAACATTATCATGATGATGATGACAAAAGAAAGAGATTCCATTAAAGTCTAGAGGGAATGATTTATTTCACTTTATGGGAGTTACTTAACTGTAATTCCGGTATAACTATCATCCGGAAGAGTTGTCATCATCTTCTAATTTCTTAAACTATATAATTTTCATCTTAAAATAACCTTATCAAGATCGATATGAGGATGAAAATGAAGATGATGATTGATTTAGAATATAAAAAGTAAGCTGAAATTCAGGTAAAAATAATACCGGAGAAAAGTTCTAATGAAAATCATTGAACAATTGAACGATGAACAAGTTAAAATGATGAAGTTAATCAAGAGCAAAAAAATGAACATTATCACGAGAAAATATTGATAATAATCAGAACATTTCTCTCATTCTAAGTATCCCCTGAATAACCATCACCACCATCAGCATCCATTTGATCATTTTTGATACAATTTAGTTGATCAACTCCCTGATGAGAAAGTTCTGAATGAAACTCTGAAAGTTTCATCATTTTACCTTAAAGGTTTTTATCTGATTTTTTTTCTGTGCTCATCTTCATCTTGTTTCAAACAAAATGCTACATAAACTTTTATTATTATCAAATATCTTTACAAGAATATACATTTCAACTTGTTAGTATCATGTTATCTTGCCTTGGGCTATATCAACAACAAAGATGATAAAATGATAACCTTTTGTTCATTATTCTAAATTTCAATGGTTTCCATGATGATAATCATCAATCTGATGATCAGAAAGTAAATATATTATCATATGAAATTATTTTTTACTACCAATGAACAATCAGAACTTTTTTTTTCTCCTATTGTTATTTCAGGTTAACCATAATGAGGTATATTAACATTACTATCCTGATAAAATGTCATACATTATGTTCAATGGTAAATTTGTCTTCATCCTCTTCATTATCATCACTTTTCTTACCATCATACTCAATCCTATTATATCATTTCTCTTACACACCTCTTTCATTTATCTCTCTCATTCTCTACTTGACCACTTCCGGTTCTCCTTTTCTACTTAATTTAATCCTCGTCATGGTTTTCCATTCCTTTCTCAATATCTTATTCCTCAGTCTCATCTAATCATGAGACTCTAGTGATTCAGTATAATCATTATCATCATCATACATAATCAATCACAATGATCAACCTTTTAAATCCCAAAATTTGGTTTACCCTGTCAACCAATAATAATCAATGGAAGATGAATTTCTTTCTCTATCATCATCATCATCATCATCATCTTCATCTATTCATCTCCTTTATCATCACCTTTAACCAGAATTCCTTGAAAATCTAGACTCATCAACCAGCCCACTTAAATATTATAACTAAAAGATTCTGTTGGAAGAAAAGGAAAACATGAAAAAGTTCAATCACATTGAGAACCAATTAAAAGTCCAACTTGTAAACAGAAACATGAATCTTGACTCGAATGATTCTGTCATTTGGAATTTGTCTCAAGGATGAAACTTTAACCGATCCTACATGATACCCTCTTCTCATCACCATGATGAGCTTTTTTCCATTTCTTTTCTTGTTCTTTTTTTCCCTGGTTATCCCTTTTATTGAGAAAATGCTGGTAAAGAAATCCAATTCAAACAGTCACTATTGTATTCCAAGCAAGAGAAACATTGGAAAAAGGGATTTAAATGATTCCATCATTTCTTTGCGATGTAGAGTGACGACTGTACATTACAGGAGTTTAGCAAAAGGTCGAGTTGTGGGCTATCAATAAAAATGTCTACAAACTTTTCGATAAGTTTAAGAAAAGTTATTGAGGAATCGACGAAGCTAATAGAAGACTCAATTTAAATTCTACACGTTTGGTTTTGTTCATAATCTAAATGATGAAATTAATCTCAAAGAATTTTGAATGAAACAATCACCTTTTCTTCATTATTATTAATAAACAAGTTTAGAATCAAGTTTAAAGCTGGAAAATATTGCAGATTAAATTTTGATAACTTATCATGATTATCTACGAGAATTATCAAAATTTTATTATATTATTTTGTAATTTACGATACATATTATCAACCTAATGGCCTCATAAAAACAGATAATCATATGCTGATCTGATGCTGAGGTGAATATACCTAAAGCTCAATGTTGATTAGCTATAACCTTTTTCTTTTCCTCATCATCACCATTCTTATCATCCTGTTGGTTTTCAGGGTTTGTGTTCATGATGATTCTGAATTACTCTTCGTATCCTTCTTCCTTACTTCATGATTGTTAAGTGATCATCAAAATTCTGATCATAAAGCTTGGAATTTTTCTCTCTCTTTTCTCTCATTTTTTGCCTTCGATATAATAGAAACTTATTCTCCTTGGATACTATTATTGTTTCAAAAAATTTTTCTTCTCTTTCCATGAATCCTACCAGAATTTCTCAAAAGAAAAGTTTAGATTAAACAATTTACCTGGAATTATTTAAAGGAAAGAGAAAGAGAGAGAGAGAGAGAGAGAGAGAGAGAGAGAGAGAGAGAGATAAATGTTAAGCTATAACTTCCAGAACGTAACCATGGCAACGATTTAACAGGAAAACGATAATGAGTCAATAGATTTAACCATTATTATCATTTAAGTGCATTAAATACACGTATCGTTGTTCAGGTCAATTGAATAGTTTCTTAGTAATTATTTGGTAAATATTATCATTACCATGAACATTGTTGAGAGTTGATTTTTGTTGATGATCGTGTATTGTTTCATAATGACCATGTTATTAAAATGAACTGAATTAAATTTGATAATAATCAAAGGTAATGTGCTGCTAATGTGATAAACTGTAATCAAAAAATACATATTACATAATTTTCATGAGGCAATTCTGAGTTTTCCCCGAGTGAATGATATATTAATTTAATCTTCATCAAGTTAATATCAACTCAAGAATCAGACAGATTTTAATATTTAATTACCTGATTCTGTCTAAAGTTTTTTTTTCTAATTGTTCAAGTTAATTATCTTGCTATTCATTTGCATTAATTTCATAATTCTTATGATATTTTCTCATTATCTTTGTCAACAATATAATTATTACAAAATGAGCAATTAATTAATGCTAATTAACTTGCAGAAAGCAAACCCATCTCTCTCTCTCTCTTTGCTAATACAATATGTAAATAATTTTCACGATCTCAAATTATTACAATTCATACTTCATATTATTAATTTGATTACTTTTCTATTTTTTAATTGAATATCTTATCAATGGGATTTGAATTGTTCGAATATATTAAGTTGAAACTTACCAATGACATTTATCTTGATTGTTTGGGTTTTCGTTCTAGCCCATTTGTAATCAGCTCTACATGAAAAATAGCCATCATCCGATGGATTAACTGGATTAATGAGTAAAAAGGGTGGATCAAATGTCGATCCAAGAGTGATACGATTCTTGAATTGAGTTTGAAGAAAATGCTGTGGACGTGATTCCCGGAAGTCAAGTGAATAAAAGGGTGGACCGGTTGCATTTCCGTTCTGATACCAGAGTATAACAAGAACCTCATCCTTTCCACTGAGTGAAACATTACATGGTATCTTAACTGCTCCATTTACAGGGACAGTTATCTCAAGAATATCTAAGCAGAAAAAAAAGAGGAAAGGAAAACAAAAAGTTCAATCTTGGAACTGAAATAAGATATATGTATACAGGATGATCATGAATGATGAATGATGACCAAGGTATGTTATTCATGTTATAAATAAATATATCAATATATTATTTAGAGAAATCAGATTATCAGAGTCATTTGTGAACCAGATCAACTTTATCATGAAAGAAAAGAAGAAAAAAAAAATTTTCTCTGTAAAATCTTAAAAGATTTTCCATAATTTCATGTTCATCATCTTCTTAGGATTCATTTGAATTAACTTTATTAATTCTTCTCAATCTAAGTGGACTGTACAATAATATTTTCTTGATATTCTGAATTGAAATTCATTCCTTTACTTTTGAAGAAAAATTTTATCATGAAAATTGAGAAAAATATCTCCAGAACATTGAAAATTGAATTGAACCATTCTTGCTGTTTGAGTTTTCCATCAGCATCAACATCAACATCATCATCATTATATTATCATTTTCATCAATTTTCAACATTATCATCATAATGTTCATTATCTTCAGCTGATTTAATCAATTTTCTGAATGTTGAAAAAAAAAAGTTAAACTTACAATTAAGTTGAATGTGTAATTTGAATGAACTAAACTTTTGATTTTCGTTATTTACTTAATAGTTTTCACTTAAAGATAATGATAATCATTGTAGACTAACTAATGATACATTTGATTATATGATCTGAGGGAAAATAATGAGAAAATCATTGTTAATGATAATGATAACATTCAAATAGATTAACCTTTTTAATAGACCTGAAACCGGAAGTATGATGATCCTAATTGGACAATGAATTCTGGTAATTATTGGCACATTTGTGGTGAAAAATTATGACCTGAGATCACTTTCCAATCTCTAATCGTTTCTAGGCCAAAAATGGCTCGAAATGGTTTATCGATGAAATTGTTTTCTGATCAACAAAGTAGGTCAATAATTGGAAATAAATAACAACAATTAATTTTTGCTTGTATTGCAATAAGATAACAAATATTGTTACATCAGCAATACAATCAACAGAAATGGTAATGATTGTTAAGTAATCACAATAAATATCAATAGTGGACAAGAATAGTAATCAAAGTTATTATGAAACAATCATGATAACAAGATGATAGTTTAATCAATGAATGATCAATTGTTTGAATTATGTTTTTTCTCATGTTAACAGTTAATCAAAGTCTCATTATTAAACTAACGGTAACGTTTGTAATATATTATGGTAACAAAAAGGTAACAAGGATAAAGACAAAGACTTAATCAAGGTAAACACGGTGATGATGATGATGAGGATGATAATGATGATGGTTATTATTATCTTCATCTTGATGATTTACTCATGTAAAAAGAAAGGTATTAACATTTTCTTATGTTGATCAGTGACATAAGATGATGATGATAATGATGATAACAATAGACTAGAAAATATTAAAAGGTTAACAATTTACAAGAGACTCGACAAGAGGATGAACCATAACAAGAAAAACTTTTACATCAACAATGAGTTTTTTTTTCACTCACCTTAACCTGAGCTTTGTAACCTTTTTGATGTCATCATCACTTGAGTATTTTTGATGAGGTGAGAGAGAGAGAGAGGGAGGGAAAAAATCAACATGATAACAATGGTGATAATGATGATAATGATGATGACAAGTTTTCCAAAGTAAAACTTGAATTAGATGGTGTAAAGAACAAGTCAAGATAAGGATAAAACATTGAGAATATTTGAAAAGAAAAAGAAAAGAGAAGAGAAGAGAGAAAAAATGATATCCCGGAAACGGAAATGATGGAGAAAAATGTTATCATCTTGTATTTTCCATCTCTCTCTCTCTCTCTCTCTCTCTCTCTCTCTCTCTCTATCTCTCTTTCTATTTCTCACTTCTCCTTACAACTTTTTTTTTCAATGGATAAATGGATGAATAGATAAATATTATTAATGTTTCACTGATTAGAGTGATAATAATAATACATTAGGGTAATTAACTTTCAATCAGTGAAATCTATCATGTAACATGTATTGTTCATAACGATAAGGTGTCTCCATGAACAAAGACAAGTGATATCTTGGAATCAGATCAAATATTAACTTCTATTGTCAGAAAATTTATTATCTCACCCATACTCATGGAAATAAGAGAATCGATTCCTCAAATTTCAATGTGAGTTATTCAGAATTTTTTTTTAGAATAAAAATTATTCTTTTCCAATTTTTTTTCTCATTTTAATCGGTTCAATATGATACTTTGATTCTAATACATGGGAAATTGGACCTTCTCTAAGGTGACCACTGAGAATATAATAATAAATATCTATCATTGGAATTGAGGTTCGAAAGAAAAAGGTAAGAGAAGTGCTAAAGATGATAATCAAGTTTTGGACGATTGACCAGAAAACTGACCAATAGATTACGAGGCTGAAAGACTCAAGAGGTTATATTCTGATCGTTACTTTTTCTTTCTCATGAAAATCAAAAGGAAACATTAGCAGGGAAATGAAAAGAAAACCACTAAGTTTACCTTCAACACTTTTCCTATGTAATATTAATGTGATCGCAATTCAATTGTAAAGGTAAACTATTACTATCATGGAAAAATAAATTCAAAGTAATTTCAGTGAACAAAATATATACACAGACAAAAGTGTATTCGAAAAAAGAGATTCTCATTGTAGAACTTTTCTTATTCTTGTGATAACAAATTCGAGGTAAAGAAATACTCACAAACTAATATTAGAACCAATGAATGTTATCAAAAGGAAAGAGAAGAAAAAGTTCTTATATTAGATCAGATAGATTCATATGAAATGTATTTGTTGTCCTTTCGATTTCAATGTCTCTCTCTCTCTCTCTCTCTCTCTCACAGTTTCATTCCAATTCTTTTCATTGCCTATTATATTGTAATGTTATATTGTTCAGGGGGAATTATTTACTTCGCTCTGATTCTGGACATGAAAAAAGTAAAAGCTTTTTAAATTTTACTTTAAATTGACCAACATTTTTACTTTGTCAATATTATCATTATCTTACATCATCAGTCTCATCTTTTTTATCCTCATCCTGCATCATGAAAGACTTTGGGTCAACTTCAGTTCATTATTTTCAATGGTCTATCAAAATTCACATTTCTCTTCATTTTCTAACCACTCGATCATCATCATCATCTTCATCTTTCTATTCTCGCATCCCCTGGATAATAAAAAAAAGAAAGAAATTCTCTCAATTTCAATTCTGACTCTTCTCATGGAATTTTAAACTTGTTCACTTCCGATTTCACAAATTCAATTCGAAACTTTTACTTCCGCTTTTACCAAAGAATAACAATTAAATTATCATCATCATCACGAATCAATCAATCAATCAATCATTTAGCATCACCAAATAATCAACCAATTATGAGGTTTTCTTTTTGTTTCCACCAAAATCATTACGAATGATAAACTATTGTAAACAATTATAATTATCGCCTGGAACAATAATTAACAATTGTTGATAAACTTTTTCTCTCTCAACACAATTAATTAACTTACACCGTTAATTAGATTGAAAATGGATTCACTTTGACGGGTTGAGAGACACAAAAAAAAAGACTTGAAATGATTAAGAGTAAATTGTCATCAATCAATTGTATTGATTGTGCTTTTATCTTTACCACTTAAACCAAACATCATTCATCTTCAACTATTAACAAGAGGAAAATAGATTGTAATTGAAATAGATTATCATATTAAATTAATCAGTGATAACCTTTTAATCAACAAAACTGAAAGTCAAGCTAATCAAGTCTAAATACATGATAATCAAACCATCAACAATCATCATCATCAACATCATCAGTGATCATCTCAGATTGACGATTAAATGAGAATTGAGAACAAAAAAAAACGAGTTAATCAAATAGTAATTCATCATAATCTTAATCAATTTAATGTAATTGATAAAGGAAAATCATCTAACTGTTAAACTTTTCATTATCATGTTAGTTAATCATTTCGTTTATTAAATTGGTATAATTAAAATTGTAATCAAGTGACTGGTTGACAATAAGTGATAAAGGATAACGGTAAAAAAAAGGAGGACGAAAAAATTAACTAAACGTTGACTTGATTTTGTAGTAGTTTTTTTGTTCATCACCATCATAATCATTGGGATCCCAATGAAGATGATGAGATGAGGGAGATGATGATGATGACGATGATAATGATAATGGTGAAAGCAATAAGATGCTAAGGAATCCTTAAGATGAATCAGGAAGATAAATTGAACTGAGATTTTTTTTCCTCTTTTTCTGAAAAAAAAAGTTCATGAGGCTCAAAGATAAATGAAACATGAAACATATCAAGATTTACTTTTCATTTTGTACCTTTTTTCACTTGTATTATGTATATAATTTCATGGTAAAACTGAATAATCATCATCATTTGAATGAATGAATAACTTGGTGAGAAGATACGAAAAAGATTGAGAGTTGAAATTGATAGCAATTTATAATGAAAATGAAGGGAAAAAGATTGAAGATAAATTCTGCAAATGAAAGTTTCCTTTTCTTTGGTGTAATATAAACATTGTTGTTTGTTGATTGTTTTCAATCAATCGTTGGAAACAGATAATCAAGATGATTATTATCATGATGATTATGTTGATAAATGAATTTGAATTTAAATTGATCTTTTATTATGATGGAGAAGCAAAAAATTACATGCTTCTTGGAAATGGATTCTCATTGCTCAACAACTTTCAGAAATTATTATTACTATGAGAATGGAAGGAGAAGAAAAAATTTCTTATTCTTTTCATTGAGAATTTAATTTAAATACTTGATCGTAATCATGATTATTGTAATTAGATGATTATGTTTTTTTGTTCATCTTCTTTATCTTCTTTTAAATCATTTGCAATTTAATCAAAAAAATCAGATCATTTACAATTAAATTGTTCGTAATCATATTTATCATTTACTTTGGAATTGAATTTATCTCCTGTTTTATTTATCATCGTTAATTGTGCTCTAATTTTGTAAATAATTAAAACTTACCCGGTGAACAATTTATAAAATGTTTATAAATATTTAATTGTAACAATATTAACAGTTTAATTAGTGATGATAATTTTAACAAAATTAAGTTAATCATGATTGATGATGATTTGAAAATTTTCACTTCATTGTTGATTAAAGTTTAATTAAACATTTTCACATTTTTCACAATCAAAGTTAAATCAATGATTATTATTATTAATTTTCATGATAATTTGATTAACACAGTTGATTTAATCCAATTGTTCACAATAGATTAATCCATTTATTGGTCTATTTTATTTTTAATTGATAGCAAACAATCAACAAATTAATCCAAAAGGGATAAGCACAATTTTCACTTTAATTGGGAATTATTTTATTTTATTTTCTTTATACTCACAATTTCAAAGAGACAACAATTTAATCACAATTTAATAAAGAGTATCAATTGTTTAATTGTACAATTTAAGTCTCTAAAAGTAGTGAAACTTTGTGTTACTTACAATTGAGATGAAGGGAAAAAAGTTAAGACTCAGTTTCAATGATGATTTGTTAACATCATTACGATTATAGGGACTCAGAACTTTGTTCAGGATTCAGAATTCAGAGTTTCCTGGGAGTGAGATGATGATCATGATGATAAGATGATGATGGAAATGAAAGAGGTAAGAGAAGGGATCAAATTAAATGGGAAAAGACAGCGAACTCTGGAGAGGAACAATTCAGTTAATCATTGGAAAGTTTCAACTTTTTCTCGCTTAATAACATATTAAGATTTTAATTGTTTAGAATTAATTGAAAGATTAGATAATTAATATCAACTTTTTAAACATGGTTCACATGTATATTACTAAGAATTACAATAGATTTGAGTTTCTTTTTTTTCCTGGATGAAATTTGGATAATGATTCAGTTGAATTGGATATAAGGAAACGAGAAAAAAAATCTGTTGATTAACATGATACAATTAACTGTTTTCAAATTGATTAGTTTTATGAATTAGTTGTGAGATATTAATATAATTTAAAGTAATAACCGGTATGGGAAGTTAATTGTTGTTCAGGTTGAGAGAGACTTAATTGTATTAATTACAACTTTTTTTACGTTTTTCTTTTGTTTCTGGAAGTTGATTGGAGGTTTTAATTGTTGTGATGGGCTAATTGCTCTGGATTGTTCATTATCTTTATCTAAATAAATCATCATGTAGCCGAATTATATTTAAATAAACATCATCGAATTTGTGTTCAGCTTTAGTATCTTAGAACCATTTCAATTGAGACACAACAAAAAGTTTGATTGCGAAGTGAAGAAATGAAATTCGTTTCTTGGAATTGAATCAAATTGTCAATGATTCTCAGGAGGTAATTGATTATTAACACCAATTTAAATTAAGGTAAATATATTAAGGCTCCTTATTGTTATCTTTCCTATTTCCAATTGCTTTTATGGACTCGTTTCGGTGATCTTTATCAATTGGATTCTGTCTTCATCTTTTAAAGTTACGTTTGCAAGTCTCATAAAAATAAACAAGTTGCAAGTCAGAAATGAAAAAACAAACATGCAAAGACATTCAAAAGATTTTTTAAAAAAAGTTGATTGCAATGACTGATTTGCAATAAAATTGAATATATTTAAATTGGCTTCTTTGTAAAATTAATTTCCAGACTATTCCATTAGTTGGACATAATTAGCGGGGAATAGGCCAACAGCGCCTTTGCACTCTCCTCTCCACCAGCCATCATCGATCATTTCAATGCTTGTAATTATATCATCAGGGTCGAATGAGATTTCATCGAAATCAGCAGCTTGATAATCATATAAGGCAATGGCTTTGAGGTTGGATGAGGTTGGTGACTGTTGCTGTTGTTGTGGTGTTGGTGGTGCTTGTTGTTGGACGGATGATGATGGCGATGGAACTGTTGATTCTTGGACATGGTGGCTCAATGGTGAGCTTATTTTTTCAATTTTACCATCAGATGTGGTTTTAATTGTTGAGGAGGATGAGGAAGACTTTGATTCTGATTTACTGGTTACTTTTATTTCACTAAATTTATCGGCAATTTTTGAGAATTCAGAGGTATCCAGGGGAGAGGATGAACGCCAGACTGTTTCTTCCTTGGATTCAACTTTGGATGATTCCTCGACAATTCCATAATTTGCTCTATGAACTTCTTGTCTCTCTGAGAAAACATCAATCTTTTCAATTTTTGATCCATCACCTTCAAGTTTTTCCATCTTCTCAATGTGTTTCTCACTTTTTTCCTTCAGTATTGAGCCTCCTTCAATCTGTTCATGTTCAACTTCTGCTGATGAGCTTTCGGTTACCAAAGGTGAGCCAATGCTACTCGCATTAGATGATCGAAAAGCGGACGGAAAAACAGAAACACCGATACGATTAACTTTGGGTGACTTGGTATCTTTCGATTCACTAGATTCGTCCTCAGGTTCATCTTGAGTTTCTTCCGTCTTTTCTGATTCAAGCGGTGCTTCAGCGCTTAACCTTTTTTGTCGAGCCTCTTCTGACTTTTTAGCTTCTTCCTTTTCTTTTTTCTCTCTTTCCAGCCTTCGAACACGTTCTTCTTCCACCTTCTTTTTGTCCTCTTCTCCTTTATCCGAGAATAAATTTTCCCATTTAGCACGTAAATTGCTCGCTTTTCCTTTGACAATAGCCTCTGGTTCAACTGAACTTCCTCGGCTACTTCTCTTAGAATCTTCATCATTATCATCACCTTTCTCATTCCACAGATGAGCCGCTTTGTCAACCTTGTCCTTTTCTATTCCAAAAGCTCCACCAAATCCTTTAGAATAGTCTATGAGAATAGAATAGAATTGAACATGGAAAACAAAATTAATCAATTCAATGTACAAAAATTAATTTAATTCCCATCATTACCTTTTTGAGACTCGTGTTTCTCAACCTTTTCATGATACTCCCAGCCAACAGCTGATTTATCTAACCGATCTTTTTGAATACCAAATTTACCACCAAATCCAATTGAATGATCTGTAATACAAGTCAAGAAAATACAGTTAATAATTGATTCTCCATTCATTTTAAAAATTGATTAACCCAAACAAACCTTTCTGTGATTGATGTTTCTCGACAGTTTCATGATGTTCCCAGCCAACAGCCGATTTATCAACTCGATCCTTTTGGATACCAAATTTACCACCAAATCCAGTGGTATAATCTACAAGGATATAAGATAAATTGATTAGAATCAAGTGATGCAGATTATAAATTATTGTTTCACCTTTTTGTGACTCATGTTTTTCAAGTTTCTCATGATACTCCCAACCAAGAGCTGATTTATCAACACGATCCTTTTGAATACCAAATTTACCACCAAACCCAATTGAATGATCTAATTAGTAAACACGTGGTTATTAATTAGTAACAATAGAAAAGACAACAAATGCCCAAGCTAAATACTGGACATTTACCTTTTTGTGATTGATGTTTCTCAACAGTTTCATGATGTTCCCAACCAACAGCTGATTTGTCAACACGATCTTTTTGAACTCCAAATTTACCACCAAAACCAGTAGTATAATCTGCAAATTGAATCAAAGATTATATGATTAATATTATTATTTATGTTGATATCGAATCAGGTCAAAAGTGAAAGATGAATAGGCAATTAAAGTGACGAATTTAGTTATTCAATAATCTTTGAGATCTACTATTCATTGAAAATATGGAATATAAATTAAGATATTTCAAATCTTAGCATTACAATATAATCTCTTTGATTATTTAATCTTTAAACGCCCATGTAAATGGTACAGAGAAGGTTATTAACAGGGAAGATGAAAAGATTGACTGAAAGTGTAGAAAATTGACAAAAATGGAAAAAGTGACATAATCAATTGTAAGGTATTGCCCTTAAGAACCTCAATTTTCGCGCTTCTTCATTAATCACTACCTCTAATTGTCGCCTTTGTTGTTGTCAATCACCTTTCATTTGGTTTAAAAGACAACACATTTTTGCCATAAAGCAACAATTAGTGAATCTTTGTTTTAATTACTTTTAAGTTCCTAATTTGTTCAACTTTTATAAGTCATTCCAATTAGTCCTCATTACCTGTTTCTCTTTACCTAATTGTCACTTATAAAAGTCTCCTTCTTGTAACCTCTTAGTTACTATTACCCTTCAATTAACCTTTCCAAGTTACTCATCAAACATTAATACTGACCATTATTCAATAGTTAATAAAAGCTAAATTTAAGAGCTTATAAAAGCCAATGGTCCACCTTTATTGATAGACCTTAATTAGTGGGTGAATAAAACACCAGTGAATTAGTTGATTGGGACAAAACGGACCATAGAGAGTTTTGTTCGGTACTCTGACCCTTGTCCACTCTAAAACCCGACATATGGCGACCTAGGCAGTCCTTCTCTTACTTCTTCTTCGTGTTTCTATTCTTCTTTTCCCTTCTTTCTAATTTTCCTATCACCATAAAGTGTTTTCTTTTGTAATCATCATCGTGTGTTTTCTTACACCATAAAGTGTTACTATGCCTCCTAAGAAGATCTCAGCTCTCAGAAGTGTTGTTTCTGATGAAACTACTGTTAAAGACGCTCCAATTTCTGACAAACAAAAGTATCTCGAAACATGGGGTCATGATAAAAACCTCGCTGTATTGTTCACTTCAGTTTCCTCGATCCTTATCGACTCATTTTTGCTTCATGGCATTGAGACCGATTTCGACGCCCTTGAAGGTTATCTCTTACTGAAGCGATCGAACCTAGTGTTCCAGATTGGTTAATTTCTTTCCGCCGAGACGGTTTAACCGAAAAGGAACTTCAAGCACTTCTTAGTGTCTATGGTACAACAAAACAAGCCCTTTTATCAGGTTCCTATGATCTTATTAATACTCTCAATGTGTCAGAAAACGCTAAACATGTATTTCGTCAATTCAGAGGAAATGACTTTAAACCTTCAAATGTTCTCAAGGACGAATCAAAGTCACCTCAACCTCTAATCAACCTTGAGCCACTTCCTCTTCCTCCATCTTCTTCCATCACACTTCCTGATTACAAATATCGAGTACCTCTTCCTTCTCTTCCAATTCTTCGAATCGAAGATGATCCTTCGACTGGTTAACTAGCGCAGAAAGGCAACTCCAGTGGGAACCGATCGACGATTCAACTCGTTCCGACTTCTTAAAAGTACATTGCTCACGATTTGATCATCATTGACCAACAGTCATGTCAAGGTATCACCGATTACAACGAGTATATCTCAGCTCTTTATCGAGGCTTAAGAGATTCTACCAAGGTAACCGAAGCTCAACAAAGTTTAAATGATCTCCGTTACAATTATGAAGATCCTCCTCGTATCTTCATCGCTAAATTGCGATCATATCTTCTTCGACGTTTTAGTACGGTCACTAATCAAGATATCTTACGGGAACTTCATCATCGTATTCCAGTACCTCTTAGAGATGCTATCGAAGATCAAGGTTGTGTTGACAATCTCGAAGGTACCATAAAGGTAATGATACTCCGTTATCACCGTCAATTAAGACATTCGAAACCTAATGATAAATCGTATTTAAATCAAAAGTCGAAACCTTATGAGTCCAATAAAGGACCTGAACAAAGAAATGTTCAATCTCAACAATCAAAGGGTAATCATAAACCATCTCAAGTTCCTGTTGTTTCCTCTTCATCTTCCTCATCGTCTTCCTCGTCAAATTCTCAACAACAATCCGGTAAACCTTTTCCAAAATTCTGTCGTTATTGTAAAGAAAGGCCATGAAATCAAAGATTGTGCAAAGCGAAATGCTAAACTTTCTAAGAATGAAGAAAATTCTACTGATAAAAGTACTCCAACAACTCAAGAATTAACTTTCTGTCTTCCAAGCGATGAAGCTTCTTCCTCATTAATTACTAAATTCGGAGATGTTCCTCCAAATGAATGTGCTTCTGTGTTTTGTCAACTATTCACCAGTACTCGTGAATTCACTAAAAGTGGTTTCGTCCTCTTTGATACTGGATCTGGATCTTCATTGATCGACCTCGACTTCGCTAAAAGCCTTAAAGCTTTCCTCGTTCCAACGGACTACTCAGTTCGTGATGCTTGTGATAATAATCTAGACGTCATTGGTGAAGCTTATGCTCTTGTGAATCTTCCTCCTTCAAAAGAAGTGATACTTATTCGTGTCGTGATAGCGAAACGATTTTCTCCTCTATTCTTGTTTGGGTATAAAACTGGACACGATCTGAAGATTGGATTACAATCGGATGGTGAGAAATTCAAAGTATCTTTTATGAGAAAAACTGAGCATGAACTTGTTAAGTTTAGATTCGCCACTTTTGAAGAAACAAAAGTTGGACTATCCAGAGATAATAGAAGTTCCGTCGATATCATTGATCTTTGTAATGTTAAAACAGTTGATATGCCTCATCTTTATCTCAAAGCTTCTAAAAGCCACTCAAGCTTAATTTATCTTATTCAAAATAATCTAAGAAAAGACAGACCTTTCAAAATCAAATCTCTTCCTCCTGAAGAACAACTTCTTACTCCTAAAGAGTCTTCATATTGTCTTCTTCATTCTCATGAATCCGAGCAAAAAGAAAATTTAAATTTCAAAGATAAACTCCTTAGATGTATGAATCCAGAATTAAGTTCAAATCAAGTCAACGAACTTTTATCAATTCTCTTGAACTATCATGATGTTTTTTCTCAACATCGCCTGGATCTTGGTTGCATCTCTTATCGCAACTGTCCCATCTTTATCGATATTGGAGACAATAAAGTCCCTTATCAAAAACCTTATCCTTGCTCATTTGAAAGAAGAAAAATTTTCAAAGATTTAATCAACGAGCTAATCAAAAGTGGTATTGTTGAACCTTCAACGGCAGAGGGTGGATCCCCTGCTTTACTCGTTGCCAAACCTGATAAATCTTATCGTCTTGTTATCGATTATCGCGCTTTAAATCGCATCACTCGAATAACTCAATACCCGATGCCTAGGGTTGATGACTGCTTAGAAGCAGTTCGAGGTGTTGAATATTTTAATCTATTCGACCTCTTTCAAGGCTACCATCAAATAGAACTTCATCCTCAAGAAAGGGGTAAAACCGCCTTCGTGACTCCTGATGGTAAATACCAATTTATTCGTCTTCCTATGGGTCTTTCCGGTGCTCCGTTTTATTTTCAACAAATGGTCAATAAAGTTCTCGATGGTCACAATTACATTAAATGTCTTGGATATTTCGACGACGTCCCAGTTCTTGGTCGTTCATGGCGTGACTTGCTAAAAAGTACTCAACTCGTTCTTCAAAGACTTCGTGATCATAACCTCAAAGTCAAGACAGATAAATGTCAATTTGGTTATCGTGAAATTAAATTCTTAGGTCACATCGTTAGTGGTAAGGAATAAAACCTGATCCTGCTAAAGTCGAAGCCCTCAAACGCCTTCCCTATCCAAGAAATCGTAAAGAACTTCAAAGCATTTTAGGTTGTTACAACTTCTTCAGCCGTTACATAAAAGATTTTTCTCGTTTAGCTGAACCCTTATACCGAATGGTATCCAAAGATAGAAAATTCTGTCTCATGAAAGAAGATAAAGATGCACTCGATAAACTCAAATCATCCCTCATCATTAAAACTATGTTGGTTCATCATGATCCGTCTTTAAGGAAAAATTATCTGCTGATGCTTCCGATAAAGCGGTTGGTGGTATGTTGCTCCAGGAAGAGCCTTCTGAATCTGAACTCCATGAAACTATCGATTCAATAAAGAATTGGCAACCAATCAGTTTCTTCAGTCAAAAACTTCAGAAATACCAAGTCAATTACGCCATTTCAGAGAAAGAACTTCTCGCTATTTTCATTGGTGTCGATAAATATCAACATTTCCTCGAAGGATCAGAGTTTATCATCGAAACTGATCACCACGCACTTTGTCAACTTCCAAAACTCAAATTCAAAAACCCTCGAATAAATCGATGGCAAATTATGCTCGACACTTTCAACTATAAAGTTATCTATCGAAAAGGTGTTGAACATTCAGCTGATTGTTTTAGTCGATATCAATCCGAATGGGATCATCGCCCAACTATCGACCCTGAAATCAAGTTCCTCGAAAAATCTCTTTTTCTTCGTAATGAAACGAACCTCTCTTATCTTGATCCATTTTATTCTGATCCTGATCTAACTGATATTGGTGAAATTGGATATACCAATATTCTTATTTCTTCTGAAAGAAAATCTGTTTCTTCATTGAATTTATCTTCTCGTCTTCTCTTCATTAAGAATCAAGATAAATGGAAACAATTCGTGATCAATCATCAAGATAAAGATAAAGAATTATCTGTGATAAAACAAAAATTAATTCTTCCTAAAGAATCACTCGACAAACAAACTCGTCAATTTAATCTTAAAAATGGTATTCTTTTTAAGAATAAAGATAAATATCATACTGTTGATCGTATTGTTATTAATCAGCCGATTCTTCTTAAATTGTTCAAGGAAGAACATGAATCGACTCTTGGTGGACATTTTGCCACTGAAAAGACCTTTCTTGATCTATCACGCCGCTTT